TCCGGGGGGCAGGGCGCGGGCGGGGAGGGGCCCCGGCGGCTCGGACGCTGCGGGGTGGCGGAGCCGAGGGAGCGGTGCAGCTCTGCCTCGAGGCCGCGCTGTGGGAGGCAAACGCCAGGACGGATGGAAACAGGTTTGTCATGGCATCTGGGAATTTCAGAGAGCGGGCAGAGCGGGACCATCCGCCCGGCCCTGCGCCCCTGGGAAGGGGCCTCCTGGGTCGGGGTAGATGGGTCTCCTCGCAGCGGGGTCCTCACCTGGAGCTGCCCTAATAGCTGCTCGGTGACCGCCAGAGTAGCCTCTAGGAGGAAGTTTCCTGAAAGGATTGAGATAAACACGATGGGAGGGGAGCTGTCATGAGGGCTCAGAATAAAGTGAGCATTTTCTTCAGAACAAGTGCGATTTTTCAGTCTTGGAGAGAGAGGCTGGCAGGATGCATGCATTTTTAAAATATTTGATGTGGCCTTTTAAAACTGCTTTCTGACACAGTGTCACTGGCTGATAAGGCCCTCGCCCGTGCTCTCGCGCCCCTGACTGTGGGTCGTGTCCCCCTTCTTTCCAAGGACTCAAGGACTCTTCCAGAATGCCCGAGGGAAGCTCTCCCAGGCGGACCCCCCAGAACGTTCCGTACCAGGACCTCCCTCACCTGGTCAACCCTGACGGACAGTACCTATTCTGCAGGTACTGGAAACCCGCGGGGACACCCAAGTAAGTCTCTGGCTGCCGGGCGCAGCCAGCCACCCTGCTGCCCTCCGTCCCCACGCCCCTGCCCACTTCCCACACCGCTCGGCCCACGGCGTCAGTGCACGGTGTGCGCGGCACACTTCCCCTCGGTTTAGAAGGGGTGCTCTCTCCATGGCGGCCAGCGCTCCATCACATGGCCGTTTTCAACAGTCCTGCATGACCTTATTTTGGGGCCCAAGTTTCCTGTCATACGGGCGTCCCTTCAGAATCAAGCCAAGGGTGAAGAGGGCCCCCGGAGGAGCGTGCCACAGTGCCGCATGTGTGCCGACCTCTGCTCCTTCCGCCCCGCCCGGAGACTCAGGCTGGCGTCCCTGTGACCAGCAGGGAGGCCTGGGCTCTGGGGCTGCGTGCCAGCTCCTTACGTCGGCGCTGTCCTCTGGGACCGTCTTGCCATTAGAAGCAGGCGCTGGGACTGCACGGGCAGAGGCAGCTGGTCCCCTGCTGTCCTTGTGTGAGGCAGGAAAGCCTTTCCTGTTAGGGTTATTCAGGGAAGAGGTTACTTGTGGGAGCCAGCCGGCCTGGCGACAGCGTTTCCTGTGCAGGGCCTTCACCTGGCCTAGGACTCTGTGCCGGGGTTTGTGTCTCCCTTCGCATCTCAGTGTCACTTAGGCCTGGTCCGGTCGCAGCTGTGGAAACCGCAGGGTAGTCGCCACCCCTCCACCTGCAGCCAGGACCCGCGTGTTGAACGGGCACCGGGCGTGGGTGGACCTGGCACGGAGCCTTAGCTTCAGGCGACGTGCTGAGCGGGGGCTCTGCAGGGTTAGCGTGCGCCCCAGGGCGGGGATGGCTCCCTCTAGAGGGTGGAGCGCAGTGCTGGGCTCCACGCCTTCCCAAGGCATCGACAGGGGCGTCCACGCTGACCCTGCGGGCCTGGAGGCACCCTTCTGTCTTTCCAGGCAGCGAGCAGGACGCAGCCGGCGCTGTCGGTGTTCAGACAGGGCAGGACTGTACGTGCGGCTTCCGTGCTGGGCTTTGCGGAGGCCTGAGCTTGTCCTAGTTTGCATCAAAGATAAAGGACCTGCGTCTCCCGGGAGAGGGCGGGCGTGGGGTCGGCACCCTGTCCTCCCGCTGCCTGGCGCTCTGTGCTGCGGGCAGCTCTCCGGCCTCCGGGATGTGTCGCAGGCGGCCGGCTCTCCTCACCGTCTCTCGGGCTGGGCCAGCTAGCTCTTCAGTGCAGCCGGCACGCCGCCTGGGGCGTGGACGGGCATTGGGCCTGGGGGAAGTTCGGGGAAAGCGGTCTCCAGCAGGAGCTCTGAAGCCAGGGCAACGACCGACCACCAGCCCGTGGGCTCAGTGACACGCCCCCTGCTGCGTCCTCATGTCTGGGAAGAGCGAGGGCAGGTCAGGGCCCGCCAGCAGTCACAGCCGCCCCGGCGGCCCGGCTCCGGACGGCCACCCGCCTGTGCTACCTCTGCCCTGCAGGCGATGCGGGACAAGTGGCCTTTGGGGGTGGGGGCTGCTCCTGCCAGCACGGGCTCTAAAGCCTTCAGCCCTGCCCAATCTGGTGGGTCAGGGTCCTGGATACCAGCCCTGGGCTGCTGACCCCAAGGGGTCTTGCGGTGCTGGAGGGAGGGTCATGGCAGCCAGAGTGGGGGGAGGCAGAAGGGGCTCTGCACAGCTGGGAGGGAGGCACCCCATCAGCACAGCTGAGACAGCAGCTCAAGGGGAACCCCACAACCTGTCGCATCACTGGGCAGCCCGCAGGAAGAGGGGGCTTGGGTCCTGCACTGCAGCCTAACCCACAGGCCCTTTTCCCTCTAGCTGGGCCGGCCTTCCCCTGCGTAATCTCAGCTCCTCCCTGTTAGGTAGGAGGAGGGTGGAGGGAGAGTGGAAGAAAAAGGAGCCCAAACACCCACCCCAACGCGCCATCCACCGCCTGTCTCACGGCTGTCTCTGGGACCCGACACGTACCTGGGGTCCTGAGGACCGGCATATACAGGCCCATCCTGCCTTGGTCAGTGGCCGTGGCCCGGTGGGTCTTCTGATCAAGTCACCTCTGGCTCCCAGGCCTGCCCGGAACGCCAGCGGGGACGATGTGGCCCAGAGAGCTCCCTGGTTCCCTGCTCTGCAGGTCACTCCCTGTCCAAGCCCAGCCGCAGGTTGGCCGGCCAGAGGACCGGCTCCCAGGTGACGAGCTGGTCCACAAGCCCACCCCCAGCTGGGCGTGGGGGTCGCATGCAGTCAGTCTGTGTATGGTGCCAGCTCGGCCGACTCAGCCTGGAGCCCAGGGTGACCCGAGTCTGGAGCTCACAGGGCAGTGCTGGGCGGACTTGCTCCTCAGCAGGCCTCGTGGTGGAGGGGGGTCGCTCTCACGGCACGCTCACGTGTGTGCCACTTTACCCCCACGTGACAGCATTTCCGCTTGTGGATGAGGAAACAGGTCCAAAGTTGGGCAGCCTCTCCCGACGACCTGGCTGGCAGTGGCTGCGTTCAGCGTGGGTTCCTCTGGCTCCCGGCCGAACAGGCCAGGCCGTGTCTTCACAGGCTCACAGGCCATTTCCTGGGAGGCGCGTGTGCAGGGCTAGGGTGGGATCGCGTCCTGGGGTGCAGGTGTCAGCCTGAATAGCCAGGGCCCAGGATGAACCACCAGGGTGAACCATCTCCCACTTTTGCAGGCAATGGGCTCAGAGTGACCCCGAGAAGAAGAGCAGGCAGGGTTACCAGGTATTCGCCAAGAGTCTGCATTGGTTCACTTAATGATGCAGGCAACTGGGCCAGCCAGGTCTGGTGGTTAAGGGAGACATCCCACGTGGTCTGCCAGAGTTGGAGTCCCAGGCCCTGCGGCTTGAGAAACGTCCCAGGCTGGTGCGTGCCTGCCCCAATCCGGGCCTGGTGGAGGGTGGAGAAAGGACTGGGTGTGACCACGCCCAGGAGTGCTCGCTCCTCCCCCTGTCTCTTCCTCCCTGCACATGCCCTCTGGCAAATTACAAAGAAAATAATGAAGGCAACTGAAATCTGCTCCTTGTTTACTGGGACTGAACCTGCCTCTGGCTTGATCCCGACCCAGAGCCTCAGGCCCATTCTTTGCGAGACCTTTAAGATGGAAAGGACTGGGTGGCAGGTGGTATGGTGGTTTAAAGGACTGGGTGGCAGGTGGTATGGTGGTTGAGGCTCTGGACTCCCATGCAGTTGATAGCGGTTCTAGTCCTGGACCCGGCACCTTGAAACTCACCCTGGGCCTGTGTGTGTGCATGCGTGTCCATTCCCAAAACCCAGGAGGAAAAGGGAGAAGAGATTGTGGTGTGGACATCCTCCCTAGGGGGTGATTTCTTGCTTTCTGTCTCTGTCCCTCTGTCTGTCTAGTAAGTACACACGCCCTGTAGCAAAAATATATTTTAAAAAACACACAAGGATTTACAGGACCCAGAATTCCCCATGGATGGCTCTGGGCCGCTTTTCTTTCAGAGTAATGGTTTCTCCCTACCCACGTGCTCCTAGACATGGGAAGTTGGCTAAGGATGAAAGCGTCGCCGCACCAAGGGCTGTCCTGGGTGGCTGCTCACCACCCCCAGGGGCTGGAATGCTAAAATACTGGTTCTTGGGCTGGTGGCCATGTGACTCCCGCAGGCCGCAGTGCAGTGGCCGTGGGGGTGGGGTGCTCAGGTTGCTTCCTGGGCTTCAGGGCCAGGAGCCGCCCGCGCTCAGTCCTCCAGCTGGTTCAGGGACAGCTGCTGGGACGGGGTCCAGTGGCGGTCTTCAGTGAAGCTCCTGGTCCGTGTGCTGCGTGGGCGAGCCTCCGTGTCAGCGGGGTCTGTGGTGGCCTGGAAACCGGGCTCGCGGTGACTTCGCCTCCAGGGGAGTCCTCAGACTCCTGTGACGGGAAGGCTGACGATGGCAATGGCCGTACGGCTGCTCCCCGCGGACACCAGGCGTTATAGGCAGGCAGAGCGGCTCCCACTGACCTGCTGGGATGCCAGGCTTGGCACAGAGCGGCCGCAGAGTGCGCCGGGGTGCGCTCGCTCTCCAGTGCGCTGGGTGCTTCCTGCAGCACTCCCTGGGCTCCTGGACGGCCCACACCTCGGAGCAGCGGCAGCGACACACTTTCCTTCCGTAGCTCTCCGGGGTGCCGGCCCCCCAGCAGAGCCAGGGCCTCAGGGAGCGGCTCACCGCTTCACTGTCCGGCCTCTTGTCTGAATGCCCCTGCGTCCTGGGCAGGCAGAGCGTGTGTGTCTCTGCCCTTCCTTGTAAACCCACTGGAAGTCAATGCTAGGGGCCTGCCCTGGCGACCTAACCTGTCCCCTCCCCAAGACTTCCGCCACTACAATTAGATCGGGTGGCCGGCCTCGCCCGTCACATGGCCCAGCATGCACTCTGGGGACAGTCCAACCACAGCCTTCCTTTCTTTCTTGCCTGTGACTTCAGTAAAGGGGCTTTCGCCCCAGAAGCCCCCCAGCCCCCAGCCCGAATTGCGCAGGGGCAGGTGCAGCCGGTGTGGTGGCTGCTGGTGCATGAGCAAGGGACAGGCTGGCGGTACAGCTGGCACCTTGGCCCTGCCCTTCCTCTGCGAGGCCCTCCTGAGCCTGAGTCCTGGGCACGCCACCCTCAGACACCCCTCCCACCTGTGCGGACTCACCCAGAGAAGCGGCAGCTCCGCTCCAGCGGGCTGTGTGAAAATGACTAAAACGCCTCCTGCCCCCAGCCCGAGTCCTCGCCCATGGCCAGGACACTGGGTGTGGCACTGTGGTCCCTAGATCAGACCCCGCCCAGCCATCTGGAGCCAGCGCAGGAGACAAGGATCCCCACCATCTGGCTGGCCGTAATCTCCACCTCGCTGCCTTCCAGAAACATCCTTGAAGGCCAGCCCGTCCCCAGCCCCGGGCCTCCTCCTCAGCTGAGGCGGGTTACCGGGCCTTTCCTTCCCGCCTGTGGGTCCTTCCCGACATCGGGAGGGCTCTGCTAGTGTCCTTGTGAGTGCCCCGAGGCAGGAAGAGCAGTTCCCATCTCCCGGCAGCCCCTGCTGGCGC